TGTGAGCTATGACACCACAGCACTCTACCGAGGGTGACAAAGTGAGACTCTGTCGCAAAAAAAAAAAAAAAAAAAACTTAGCCAGGCTAGGTGATGTGTGCCTATAGTCCTAGCTACTCAAGAGACTGAAGCAAGAGGATCACTTGAGTCCAGAAGTTTGAGGTTAAACTGAGCTATGATGATGCAACTGTACTCTAGCCAGAGCAGCAGAGAGAAACTCCATCTCAAAAAAAATAAAAAGTACCATGAGGGCAGGAGTGAGGTTAGTAGCTGCTGGCCGTGTGGTCATACATTTGCTGTGTGTAAAACACAAATTTGGCTCAGTATTCTAATGGTAAAGATGTAAACTAAAATAGCAGCAATGAATCAGAACCCATTATCTAATAATAAAGATCAGTAGATAAGAAGATGGCCATCTATCCCGGATTCTGAGAATAATTTCTTCTACAAGACTCTTTAAAGGTCTTTTGAATCCTTTTCCCTTGTAAAACACAACACACATAAAGAAAGTGCACAAAATAAGTATATAACTTAATTTAAAATTATAAAGCAAGCATCTGTGTAAGAACTATGTATTATAACAAAGACTCCTTAGTTCAAGCAATCCTCCCACTTTGGCCTCCCAGAGTGCTAGCATTACTGGTGTGAGCCACTGTGCCCGGCCCTTCATATAACTTTTATTATAGTTTATTGTTATAACTGTCCTATTTTATTGTTCGTTACTATTGTTAATCTCTTACTGTGCCTAGTTTATAAATTAAATTTCATTATAGGTGTGTATGTACAGGGAAAAGTAGCATATATAGGGTTCAGTACTATCTGCAATTTCAGGCACAGGGTGGGGGTCTTGCATGTATCCCTCATGAATAAGAGGGAACTACTTTAACACTACAAGAAATATCCCTGTGGCTCAAGTCAGGGTTAATCCATAAAACCATTTTTTTTTTTTTTTGAGGACTCAAGCTGTCCCCCTGGGTAGAGTGCTGTTGCATCACAGCTCACAGCAACCTCCAACTCCTGGGCTCAAGCAATTCTCCTGTCTCCGCCTCCCAAGTAGCTGGCACTACAGGTGCCCGCCACAAGGCCCGGCTACTTTTTATGTTGTAGCTGTCATTGTTGTTTGAGCCACAGGTGCTGAGCCCATAAAACCATTTTTTATAACACTTTTCTTTTTTGGTCCATGGTACAAAACAGCAAACTAAAGTTCAGTAAAAATGATGTTCTGGGTATAAGGGAACACTGCTATATGGTTACTGAGCTTTCTGATGGTCTGGGCTACTCCAAGGTAAAATACTAGAATACACAGAAGAATAAACGAACTATGTTTCCTTATGCAGTCATCCTTATGTATTATTTCTCTAGCCATGAAGCAAACTTAAACTTTTGCTCCTGAACAAATACTTGAGGTATGGATGTCACAGTGCCACGCTTGGTTGGCTATGCCATAACTTTAACCATAGCTAACCAAGCTTGGGAGTAGTATAAGGAAGTGAGCTGAACTGACATCTTCTTAGCTAAATATAAGGGCGTTAACGAGTCCATAGGCTTAAGAGAAGTCCACTTCACGTTGAGGTAGAACAAGTCAGTCCCCAAATTTTCTATCATAAAAGAGTGGTTCTTCACAGAGAAAGTACCAGACATTAAAAAAAAAAAAGAGTGCTTCTTAAGGTTTTAATGACTTTTTACTAAGCTATAAAGCACATTTCTATGAAGTTCTATCATTACATAAATTCTTTTTTAAAAATTAATCAGTTTCTAGGGGTATGGGGCAAATGGGGGCATTTCGGGTAAGTCCCGTAAGAGAGCCCATAGATCCTTCTAGTGTTTCCCTTGCTAGTGAAAAAATATTGCTATACACATGGTCACAGTACTTATGACTCAGCTATTAAAATAAACAAAACTCACGAGACTCCCGCAGAAGGCATAACTTAAAAAAATACATTATGGCAAACCAACCATTGAAATGAGTAGTTAAATGCACTCCTGAGTAATTTTCAATTTGCTTTTTATCTGTTAGCAATAAATCATTTAAGTATGCACTTAAATGCACTTAAAAATAACTTAGGTTTTCAAAATGTTTGTCTATAATCATTTTCTTCCTGGAAGAAACCAAAGAATTAAAAGTCCACTGGGTCAGAAACCTTATGACAATGCATTCTACACATTTCTGTATCTATAATAATTGCATTCTTGGCCCTGTTGCTCCTATTAGAACCAAATAAAGAAGACTTCATTATAATATAAGGCACCATTAAATATCGCTCCAGGAGGTATCACTGCAACCCTACAGAAATTGAATTAATTTATTCTCATATGCCAAAACAAAAAGCAAGCAGTAATTCCCTCTTCAGAGGTGGCAACGGAAATTTTCTGATGAAAGAGATCAAGAGTGTCTACAATACTCCTACAGCAATGAGCTGATTAGACATACAATTGAATTTTTAATACCTTGGCATTTAACAGCATGAAAAGTACATGGTCAGGAGTTGCCTGGGCTCGCCACTGTAAAATCTCTGCCAGAAACTGGTGCTGAAATCATAAAGTAGAAAAAAGACACAGGGTCAGCAACTTTTAAAAAGTTATATAACGTGTTCTCCATCTGCTATCTTTGACTTGTTTTTAAGAAATCAACAATTCAGGAATGCTTACCTTCCTCACCAAATCATTCTCTTCAATTTGCCCCAGATCCCTTCCAGCAGCTTGGGCTATGCGCTTTCCAGCAACCAGGTTCCCAACCATCACGGAAGCAGGGCCTACACCTGTAAACAAAAGTAAAAACCAACTCAGCTGGAGACAGCAATTCACCTATGTGTCCCCCAAAGCATTTCCAGACTGACTTAAACCGGTTAAAATGTTATTCAACAACATTGACCGAGCATTCTTCTGGGCTCTGGGAACACAGCAGAAAATAAAAACAAACAGTTTATATCCTAGTGGACAAAGGCAATCGAGAAGTACATGCACAAATAAACAAACTCAGGTAATGGGAAGTGCTAGAAAAAAACAAAGTAGGACCACAACAGAAAAAAGGTTTAGGGTAAAGAGGAGCAGGTGGGCTACTCGTAGCTTGGGTATTCAGAAGTTTTCTCTCTAAGGAGAGAGACAACTGGTTGCACTGATTCCTATCATAAATTTTACCTGCTCCAATTATGATCCACCTCCTAAAGGGGCTTAATAGAATGAATCTGGTTTGGAAAGAAATCTGCCATCTTTGAGGACTAAGAGTGAGTTCACCAGGAATATCAGAAAGTGCTTTATTAAAAGTGAGTAATGAAATCCAAATTGTAGAACACTCTATAGAACAACAGAAACTGTCCATATCTTAAAGACAAAATTGGGTTGGGAACTTCTAAAATTTTCTTTCTTTTTTTTTTTTTGGAGACAGAGTCTCACTATGTAGCCCCCAGTAGAGTGTGGTGAAATCACAGCTCACAGCAATCTCCAACTCCAGGTTTAAGTGATTCTCTTGCCTCAGCCTCCCAACTAGCTGGGACTACAGGTGCCTGCCACAATACCTGTTTTTTTTTTTTTCTGCTGTTGTTGTTGTTTGTTTGTTTTTATAGTTGTCATTGCTGTTTTAGCTGGCCCAAGCTGGGTTCTAACCTACCAGCCTGGTGCGTGTGGCTGGTGCCCTAATCACTAAGCTATGGGCACCAAGCCTATATTTCTTAATAAGATACTGGCATTGTGGTTGAGGAGGAAAATTTTAGGAGATTATTTTTGTTCTTTAGAAATATTTGTCTGGGCTCGGCGTCTGTGGCTCAAGTGGCTAAGGCGCCAGCCACATATACCTAAGGTGGCGGGTTCAAATCCAGCTCGGGCCCGCCAAAACAATAATGACGGCTACAACCAAAAAATAGCCGGGTGCTGTGGCGGGTGCCTGTGGTCCCAGCTACTTGGGAGGCTAAGGCAGGAGACTCGCTTTAGCCCAGGAGTTGGAGGTTTGCTGTGAGCTGTGATGTTACAGCACTCTACCCAGGGGGATAGCTTGAGGCTCTATCTCAAAAAAAAAGAAAAGAAAAATTTGTCTGAAATACTTCAGGGTGAAGTGTCATGATGTCTGTAACAATTTGCTTTCAAAGAGCTAGCTCAGTGAAAAAATGTCAGAAACTGGTAAATTGTGGACTGGACTATTCTTCCAATTTTCTCACAGGTTTGACATTTCAAATAAATAGGGAGAGCCCCCCAGTAAAAACATATACGAATGCTGTACACCTTTCTTAATGGTCACTTAAAGATTAAAACCCCATTTTGTGGAACTAAGAAAATGGCAAAAAGTTGACAAAACAAAATTTATTGTTGGCTTTTTTTTTTTTTGAGACAGAGTCTCACTTTGTTGCATTGAGTAGAGTGCCATGGTGTCACAGCTCACAGCAACCTCCAACTCTTGGGCTTAAGCAATTCCCTTGCCTCAGCCTCCCAAATCGCTGGGAATTGTAGGTGCCTGCCACAATGCCTGGCTATTTTTTTTTTAGAGGCAAGGTCTCGCTGTGGCTCAGGCTGGTCTCAAGCCTGTGAGGCTTGAGGCAATCCACCTGCCCCAGCCTCCCAGAGTGGTAGGATTACAGGCATGAGCCACCCCCACCTGGCCTAAAGTATGACATTTTATTTTATTTTTTAGAGACAGAGTCTTACTTTATTGCCCTTGGTAGAGTGCTGTGGAGTCACTGCTCATAGCAACCTCCAACTCCTGGGCTTAAGCAAGTCTCCTGCCTCAGCCTCCCAAGTAGTTGGGACTACAGGCATCCACCACAACGCCCAGCTATTTTTTGTTGCAGTTTGGTCAGGGCCAGGTTTGAACCCACCACCCTCGGTATATGGGGCCAGCACCCTATTCACTGAGCCACAGGCGCCACCCAAGTATGACATTTAAAAAAGTGGATTTTACAGAGTAGTTTATTTTATTTTATTTTTTTTTGAGACAGAGCCTCAAGCTGTTGCCCTGGGTAGAGTGCCGTGGCATCACAGCTCATAGCAACCTTCAACTCTTGGGCTTAAGCGATTCTCTTGCCTCTGCCTCCCAAGTAGCTGGGACTATAGGCGCCTGCCACAACACCTGGCTATTTTTTGGTTGTAGTTGTCATTGTTGTTTGGCAAGCCCAGGCTGGATTCAAACCTGCCAGCTCTGGTGTATGTGGCTGGCACCTTAGCCACTTGAGCAACAGGTGCCAAGCCTACAGAGTAGTTTAAAACAACAAAAATAATTCAGCAGCGATTTCCGGAGGTCATTTTGTATGAATTTCTTTCTTTCTTTTTTTTTTGAGACAGTGCCTCAAGCTGTCACGCTGGGTAGAGTGCTGTGGCATCACACCTCACAGCAACCTCCAACTCTTGGGCTCAAGCCATTCTCCTGCCTCCGCCTCCCACGTAGCTGGGACTGTAGGCACCTGCCATAATGACCGACTATTTCTTGGTTGCAGCCATCATTGTTGTTTGGCCGGACTGGGCTGGATTCAAACCCGCCAGCTCAGGTGTATATGGCTGGCGCCTTAGCCACTTGAGCCACAGGCACCAAGCCTTGTGTGCATTTCTTGAGTCTATGGGTCATAGAGATTAGAAAATACTGAAAGTATTAATTCCATGAAGCTAACTGCAGACGTTGCTGTACATGTAAATATGCCTTCTTATTAATATTTTCCCCTGCAAAACTCTGTAAATTTCTGTGGCAAAAATGCCAGTTATCCATTCTAATATCTATTCTCTTCTTCCTTAAAAAAGGAACCTCTACTTTTTAGCTGGACATGTACCTGTAATAAAGATATTCTGTGATGTGGGAGAAAAATGTGTAAAAAGCAACAATATGTGTAATTTCTAGAAAATGTTTAAAGGGAAGAAAATAACCTTCTTTACCTTTTTCTTCTATTTGTCAGTGGGGCCCTGAGCCAGTATGCAAAGGATGGCTGTGGCAGACTGTTTCATTTTCTCACAATCCTTCCTTTCCTTCCTATCCTAGCTGTAGGGTTGCGGGGAGGACAAACTTCTCTGTGCCACTGACTCTGGGCTGGTCTGACTTGTTTTGGACAATGAAATGCTAGGAAACATGACACAAACAGGAGCTTTAAATACGCTCCTGTGCTTTGGCTTGCTTTCTTGCTTTTGCCATCTGCTTCGAGAAACATATGGCCCAGGGAGTGGCTGGTCCCATGATGAGGAGACACATGGAACAGTTTGGAACCTAACCTTCAACCTGGACCCAAGTCAAGTCCAATTGATCCTAGCCCAGCCAAGCAGCATCACAGCAAATCTACATCCCATGAGTGATAAATAAACACTTGTTATTTTAGGCACTGGATTTTAGGGTCATTTGTTATGTACATATCTGTAATGACAGTGGAATAAACAACAGAACAAAAAGATGGGAAGCTGGAAGAACATGAGTGAGTGACCATCCCAGCTCAGAATTTCTTTTGCCTGAGAGAAAAGTAAACGTGCTCCCTGTTTAAGTTTTTCTGCAAATTTCAACTAATACCAGTCCTAATTAATGCATTCTCATTCATTCCAGAACAGCTCCCATAGGCATCTCAAGGAGACTTTGCCTCCAGGCTGCCTTAATACCTTTTCCACCTTCTTTCTTCTCTCCTTTCCTCTGACACCTCACTCCTTACCTCTCTACTTTCCTGCATTCTTCTTAAACACTAAACTCTCATGCTATTCCCTCACCATGCCCATGGCTGGGTCTATACCATGATTTTCAAACCGCTTTGGTCCTACTTATTTATATGCATCCAACCAAGATCTTAGCAGCCCGTCATAAGTAAAAGCAAAAATAGTAATCTAAATATAATGCTTTCATCACATAGGATGAAATGGATGTTATGGGAGCGTAGGACTAAATCTCTTATATAGGATATATCATTTAATAAAATTGTTAAGTGCAAAAGCCCTATTCTAAGCATCTACTATGTCTCTAGACTGTATCTTTTTTTGCAGTTTTTGGCTAGGGCTGGGTTTGAACTCACCACTTCCAGCATATGGGGCCAGCGCCCTACCCCTTTGAGCCACAGGCACCGCCCTAGACTGTATCTTTTAAATGCATACTATAACATGAATGTTTTGTTGCAAGAATCCTAGATTAAATGCTATTTAAAATAAACTTTTACCCATATGATGAATGTAGGACTTCAGTCACAGGATTTGAAATAGAGAAGGATTTCTGTGTTTTTATATGTCTGTCATATGCTTAGGCAGGGAATATGTTTTAAGATCTTCTTTTTTATACATTTCTTGATTAAGATCACACAGCAACAACAAGTGAGATTCTGATCATGTTGTGTTATACCTTATATCCAGGGGAAATGGAGACATACTATTGAGAATTACTCATGAGAGGGAGACACTAGTACACTTAAAGAAGCCTATCCTGCAGGGTCTCAGTTCTTGCTATTCTTGTACTACTATCTTTGTAAAATCTAATTCCAGAGAAAGAATCATGATAAGAGAACTCAGCTTTATGAAGGTACAATTTTAATGTTATGTCTTAGAAGCCAGCATATTACCTGGTTGCTTTTGCCGGGGTTTTGGCAAATTTGTCACACATGTATGTGGGCACATGAGGATATTGCAAGGATGTAGAGATCCCTCCAGAAAGAGCTGTTTCGTCTGAGATATATGGATCCCTCCTAGTGGAGTTTTTGGCAGTGTATTGGCAGGCACCAGAGCAAGACAATAAACCCCCACTTGATGAATGCTATCGATTGCCTAGAAAAATACAAAGAGAAATATTCAGCGAAATTACTTTTACTATACCTGACATACTCCTGACATAATCAACTTTTTTACGGTAAGATTTTTCTATGCCCATTTTAGGTAGATCATTAAGATTACGTAGCTGTAAAGATGTAATCATTCAGCTAGATGTGGTGGCTCACTTGGGAGTCTGAGGAAGGATGATCTCTTGAAAAAAGAAAAGAATTTTTTTTTATTGTAGTTGTCGTCGTTTGGCAGGCCCAGGCTGGATTCAAACCTGTCAGCTCTGGTGTATGTGGCTGGTGCCTTAGCCTCTTGAGCTATAGGCACCAAGCCGATCTCTGGAAATTTAAAGATACCTAGGCAACACAGCAAGACCCCATCTCAAAAAAAACCCCAGAAAGTTAAAAATCTAAATGAGCAGAGGGGGGTACTGATTTGCAAGCCTCAATATATTCTCTCTTAAATGACAATATCAAAAACCTATAAGTTTGTTTTGGTGTTTTAATCTTTTAGTTATCCCATATAATCCATAATATTTTTATCATGAACATAACAGCAGATCTCTAAATGGGCTCCACTTAAGTGATTCACCGTGTTACCATGCTTTCCCTTTGCAAAGTATCTGACCCACAGCACACTGAGCATAGGAGGCCACAAGATCCTCTCTATACTGCTTATGACAATTGTTCTTGCTATTGTGTTCACACAGTTTAATTAAATATTACATCAACTGGTAAGATATAAATGTAGAAAAGCAGAAAGACTTAGACTCTTTTTTTTTTTTAATCTGAGACAGAGTCTTACTTTATCGCCCTTGATAGAGTGCCATGGTGTCATCATAGCTCAGAGCAACCTCAAACTCTTAGGCTTAAGTGATCCTTCTGCCTTAGCCTTCTGAATAGCTGGGGCTATAGGCACCTGCCACAACACCTGGTTAGTTTTCTATTTTTAATAAAAATAGGGGCTCGCTCTTGCTCAAGCTGGTCTCAAACTACTGAGGGCAGACAATCTTCCTGCCTCGGCCTCCCAGAGTGCTAGGATTATAGGAGTGAGCCACTGTGCCCAGCCAAGAGTTATGTTTTAGAAAGACAGTAAATATGAGCTCCTAAAAAACTACTATTGATATAGGTGTGGGCAAGTGAATCCTAAAAGTAAGTTTTCAAATACTTGCACTCTAGTTTTAATTTAAAATAAAACTAGAAACCAAAGATAATGCATTTGGATATAGTTTATGGAAGTAAGTTGATCTGGAACTCAGATCAGTTTACCCATAATCACATTTCTCTACATCAAATGAATCACATATTTATGTGTTTTGTATTTTGTATTAAAATTTAATACTTGAAGAATTTCTCATTTTTATGATTTTCTGTTTCAACCACCTTTTAATGCTGACCAACTATTAACACCAATTAGGAAGGTTCTATTGTATTATCCATACATCTTACTGAATAGGAGATATAAACAGAGAAGGGAAATGAACAGTCACAAAGGTCAGTTCTAAAAGACAAGCCAGGCAGGAGTATAGTGGCAGGATTATAGCTCACTGTAACCTTGAACTCCTAGGCTCAAGCAATCCTCCTGCCTCAGCCTCCCAAGTAGCTGAGAATATAGGTGCATGCCACCATACTCAGATAATTTTAAAATTCTTTTTGCTTTAGAGTATTTTATTGGAATTCTTCAGAGAAAACCAGATAGTTGTACAAGATAAAGTGAAAGCTATCTATCTAAGTGCCCCAAAATTTCTGGGTGAGATTTTTCTCCAATATAACTACAGCTGCTCACACAGGTTAATACAGGAATAAGTTCCTAAAATCTGCTCAATACCAGCTACAGGACATCCTTTGTGACAGCAAAATCCTGAAATTTCTTAAAAGGAACACATATTAAAAGCATATAGGCCGATGGCAGTAAATATATGAAGGTGTACACATTGGGGGGCACCAGACAGGATGGAGAGGAGGCAATGAACAGATCAGGTGGTTTCAAAGCTCCTCATAGTAAAGCTCAGAGACTCTAGTCCAACCAGGTCATCATTACCAATTTTTTAATTTTTGCAGAGACAGGGACTTGCTACATTGCCCAGGCTGGTCTCAAACTCCTGGCCTCAAGTGCTCCTCCTGCCTTGGCTTCCCTAAGTCCTAGGATTACAGGCATGAACCACCATGCCCAGCCTAATTTTTTTTTTCAGACATAGTTTCATTTTGTCACCCTCAGTAGAGTGCTATTACATCATAGCTCACAGCAACCTCAAACTCTTGGGCTCAAGTGCTTGTCTTGCCTCAGCCTCCCAAAGTAGCTGGGATTACAGGCACCCGGCTATTTTTAGAGATGGGATCTTGCTCTGGCTCACGCTGGTCTCGAACCTGTGAGCTCGAGACCACCTCAGCCAACCAAGTGCTGGGATTACAGGCATGAGCCACCACGCTCAGCCCATGCCCAACTTATTGAAACAATTTTAAAAGGCAAAGAATAAACCTGAAAATGGTATTCCTTATACCATCGTACTAACCAACCCAAATGACTAGGAAATGGAACATCTGGCAGAGTTCCTAAGTTTCTGTTTTTTTAGAGTACCCAGAAAGTTAACAAATGTACTACATGTAACCTGGATTTCCCACTGCTAAGTTATCTACTAACTGCATTTCCTTAGAAGGTGCTGAGTTAGGTATTTAGTTTATATCATACACAGATCCAGAATTAACAACCTCAGGCCTCTAACCTATTAGAACATATGGTATCCTTACTACTGTGGACCCAAATGCCCCACATTGAGAAGTTAAAAAAATAGGAAAATAACAGCCTCTTATTTTAAGCCCAAATTAGATCTCACAAGAATAAGTAATTTGAATTAGTAAGTTGGCTCAGCACTTAATTTCTATAGTTGCTTTCCAGAGAAAAGTAACACTTCTTGGGAAATTTCAGGTATTCTCATTTTTCTGTAATAAGAAAGAAATTGCAGCTCGGCGCCTATGGCTCAACTGGCTAAGGCGCCAGCCACGTACACCTAAGGTGGCGGGTTCGAATCCCCAGCCCGGACCCGCCAAACAACAAT